TCTTCTTGGTAAAACGGGATACCAAACAATAACACAAGAACTTTATGAAAACAAACAACCAACTAGAATCATTAATATAGAAGAGAAAATCAATACAAGAATTTTCAAAAGGAAGAAACAAACAGAGATGGTTAATCGCCACCTGAATGTCACACCATGATACAAAAAGCTACAGTCTCGTATAAGGAAATGAACAATGTACAAAGATAAGACTCAAAAATTACTCGCCTTAAACACAAGACTATCTTATATATGCCAACCTACCCACCTCAAACCTCTAAACAAAAATAAGAAGTTTCGGTCATACGCAAACTCTACTTGAGCTAATAGAAGGTCCGACTGTTGAATATCCTTGCCAACATAGCATCACAATAGGTTGTCCAAATGTCTATTGATAGCCTCGGTTTGCCCATAAATCTGCGGATGTGCAATTGAACTTTATTATAATTAAGTCCCCATCTTACCCCCTTAGGATTCTATTCTCCAAAAATGACTTTGAAATTTAGCATCCCAATCAGATGTAATAGTATAAGGAATTCCATGAAGTCGAACCACCACCCGAAAATATAAATAAGGAAAGTGTCAAGCATCCATAGTCTTCTTAAAAGGTATAAAATGCATCATTTCTGAAAACCAATCTATTCCAAGCATGATGGAATCCTTATTATATTGTATATGGGGTAATCCTACGATGACATCTAGACATACATCAGTCAAAGCGCTCTCGGGTATACGAAGTGGAAGATATAACTCTGTATTTTGCATTAGAGTTTAGCAGTCTGAGAAACTTGACGTTGTTTGACATAATGATTAAAGTCTGTGATGATAGAAAGTCAATAGAACTTATCTTGTAGAATGGATAGGGTTTTATCTCGGCCGAAACGACCTGCTAAGCCTCCATCATGACATTCAGAAAGAATGGCTTCTCTAATGGAACACCTTAAAATACTTAAGTGATTACCATGAAATAGAAATTCAACATTAAAAAGATACATATGGTAAGCTCGAAGGTGGCATTGTTGCCAAATGATTTTGAAATCAACATTCTGGCTATATAATTCTTGTAATACCTCAAAACCAATAACCTTCATTTGCAAAGTTAAAATTTACCAAGTTCCTTCGACTTGGAGCATTAGCAACTTGATTTGAATCCCAAACTTATGTTTTACACTAAAATTGAAGAAGATAAATGCTATGGTGTGCCTTCCTTCTAATTTGTTATGATTATGAAGTACTTCAAGGCTTTATGATGTGTAAAAAATACAAATTTATTAGCTAATAGATAATGATTCCAATGTTAAAGAGATCTTAATATAACATGGAATTCTTTGTCATATGTTGAGTATGACCTTCTAGTTTCATTGAGTATCACTAAAGAAAGCGATCAGATGTCATTGTTGACTAAGTACCGCCCCAATACCAATTATGGAGGCATCACACTCAACTTCAAACACATGATTGAAGTAGGGTATTGCCAAGAATGGAGCTAAAGTAATTAACTACATACTTCAAAAATTGGCTTGGGCTTCTTGTTTCTTGAGGGAACTTTTCTTTCATTGGTGTCGGGATAATATGGCTCTCAACTTTAGTAAAGGAATAGGTGTTTGCAAACCCATCATGATTTGTTCAACGATCATATTGCCACGGACATCCCAATAATATATTGCAAGCGTCTATAAGAATCGCATCACCAGACACCTCGTGAAACTTTTGTCCAATAGAAAACTAAACTAAGTATTGTTTGGTGACTTTAATCTCATCACCCTTCCGGAGCCAGTGAGTTGGTTAGGCTGAGGACGTGGCTTTGTTAGTAATCCAAATTTATCCACCATTATAGTGGAAACTATATTTTCACATCTCCCCCCATCAATAATAAGGTTGCAAACTCTGCTATTAATCATGTACTAAGTCCTGAAAATGTTGTGACAATGGCACAATTTGTCAGAGCCTTCTTTAGTGTTCAATAGTCGTTTAAGAACTAATTATTCTCCTTCGTCAGCTTGACGGATTTGTTCATGATTGAGAAGGTTGTCATTGCTCTCATATTGAACATCTTCATCAGGATTCGTCTCTTCAACAAAAAAAAAACTACTTGGCGAATCGGGGAATTGGCAGTGATAAGGCCAAATCCATAACACTTAAAACATCTTTGAGCAGACGAATTTGTTGTCATTCCCAGGGATCAACGATTCAACTTTCCCACCCCCCCCCCCCCACCCCCCCGCCCCCCCCAACCACCTCCCCCCCCCCAGTTGAATTATCCTCGTTTTCCCCCCACGCTTGGTTTTGAGGTGGTAGCCTTATTTGGGAATGAAATGACCCCAATTAATGCTCAATCCGGCATGTTTCAACCCGCATGTTGTTGTTTTTCAACCTTTATCACCAAATTGATGATATCTCAAAGAGTCTAGAAAAATTGTAATTTAACAATATTAACACTAGTTGATCTCAACACCAAAAAGTCGAGCAACTGTATGTTCTTCCAGTTTAGTGAAATAACATTTAAGCCCAAATTGCTCAAATTCAGCCGCAAATTCTTTCACTGGTATTCCATATTGCTGCAGATTATGAAATCTAATAAAAACATCCTGTCTATAATTCTAAGGTAATAAAATTCATTACATATCTTTCTTCATTTTGGCCCAAGAAGTGAACTTACTTTCCCTCTCTTTGTCGAGTCCTCTTCAAATTTTCCCAGAAAAGCGCTGCGTTCTTCTTTAACTCGATCGCCACTAGTTTGACAGCATGTTCTTGTCGCACCTCCTTGAATTCAAGAATTCATTCAACGATATGTATCCAATTGGTGAATTCATCTGGATCAAATCTGCTCTCAAAGTCAAGAATATTGATTGATTCCAAAATTGGCAGGTTTTCATCAATTTCCATGCCTTAATCTTCAAAGAGGTTTCATCCACGCTAAATGTTTCTTGGCATAATGGGTTCTCTTCTTCCTTTCCAATCAACTTATTTTCGGACTCATGTTGACGTTTTCCAGGATCCAATTATTCAAGGACCGCCAATCTCTCTTGCAAGCGATTAATTTCTCGTTGCTATTCTTCAACGACTAATTCTTGGGCTGGACATACGTTGTTTCTTCTTGTCGGCATCCTGATTGTTCTCCTGTCTGCTGTTTCGATAGGACTTCCGAGAGGGAAGAGCAAGAGCGTAGGCTCAGATACCAACTAGAACCGAAACACAACAAGAAAAAAGTAAGAAACAGAAGAGTGCCGATCGGAATAAATCTGGAACCAAAATTCAGAAAACTCTTTTCGGGAAAACAGGAAACCAAACAACAACACAACTTTATGAAGACAAACAGCCAGCCAGAATCACTAGTATAGAGGAGAAAATCAACACAAGAGTTTTCAAAAGGAAGAACAAACAGAGATGGCTGATCATTGCCTGGATGCCACTCTAAGATACAAAAATCTGCAGTCCCGCATGAGAAAACGAGCAGGGTAAATATAAGACTCAAAAACAGCTCTCCCTAAACACAAGAGCGCTTATATCTGCCTACCCACCCCAAACCCCTAAACAAAAATAAGACAGAAAATAAGAAAAGAGAATAATTACAAATATGACAAGGCCTTCCCAAACAGAATAAAAATATCAACTCCAAAATCAACGGCCTATTGAAACTCTTCTTTTCTTTCCAAACAGAAAATAAGAAAAGAGAACTATCCATTATTGTTCAAAATGATACCAGAATTCATAACAAAATCTGTGTCAACTAGCCCATCATCTGCCTGCACTCCAAATAAATTTTGTTGTGGGGGAAAATACTGTTTCTATTCCAAACACTTTATTGAAGGCATTATTGAGAAAAAAAATGAAAAAAATGCTATGATAAAATAAATAAATGCATTTCAAATACACATAGGAGACTGACAATGAACCTAAAAGAAAGAACAAATTAAGTTACAAATAGGTTAGTAAATTGAAATACAAGGTTGATGGCTCTATTGAAAAATAAAAGGCAAAAAATTCTTACTAGGTGTTACATCTAAACATTTGGAGCTATCTATCAAAAAACTTTTTATACACAGCCCTATAGTAAAAATAAACACTGAAAATTTTGTTCTCTCTTACGGCACACTTTAATTTGCTACAACAATAGTTTTCTGTTTTTTAGCCCTAAGAAATATGACTTCAATTTAACAAGCTTTTAAAACAAGACATAAGGTCCTATGCAGCAATATTTACCAGCAAGATCCTGCCATCATGCACAACTAGAATAGTTCAATGTGATGACTCCTTATATGAAGGCCTAAATCTCCATAAGCATTCCTCAAGTGTTTAAAAGGACGGGAACAATAAAAAAATTAAGTAAAAAGCAGATCATCCTCTTTACATAACCTCGCAGATAAAGGAAAAATAACAATCAGTATAAAATATTGAGATCATCCGCTTTACATAAACACTTAGACAAACGGAAAGTAACAACCAATATAATATATTTTAAAGATGCCTTCGTTGGTGAAAATGATAAAGAAAAACAAAATCATAAAAACTGTTTAATCAATGAATTTAAGATGAAAAATTGTGGAAATTTGAAGTATTTTATAGAATTCAAATCTTATGCTCACATAAAAAATATATAACAGACATGATGAAGGAAACTAGAAATGCTAGTTTGCGGATTTGTTGCTAAATCTATTTAGCCAAATCAAAAATTCAGAAGTAAACAAAGAACTGACAATTTAAAGGAAAATGTATCAAATATTATTTGAAAAACTCATCTATCTTGCCCATATCAAAAAGTTAATGCATGATAAATAAGCATGATTTGTCAATGCAAACATGATTTAAGGGAAACACCCCTATAAGCTGCCAATCATGAAAATTAATCCGGGAAGAAAAATTTTATTTAAGAAACTAATATAAACACACATTAGGACACAAATGCAAATTATGCAGACTTGAAAGTGGATAGACAAATAAAAAGTATCGATAGCACGTTTTTTTAAAGAAGTTGGTAACATTGATCAAAATGGGGTGGATGTATCCAATATTGAATCAAAATTCAAAGTAATGATGCAAGGAATTTGCAAACAATTATAGCTGAAAATTATCCTTTATGAACAAAATTAAGTGGGAAGGTCTTATAAAATTACATTGGCAGTAAGTTGGCAATAAACATCCAAGAAAGCTAGAATAAGGTTTGTTCTGCATGCCGTATGCATCATCAAAAATCCAACTAGTAGATGTCTTTTGTCAATGAATTTAATAGTGCAATGTTTTATGATAATATTTTGAAGTTGGAAATAGAAGACATCTATTACCCAACTAGAGAGGAAATGTTGGAAATCTTATCTGCCTCAAAACAGAAGTCCAGGAGATCCCCACATAGCATCTGCTCGCATTGAAGGATTCCACAAATCTCAATTGAAAAGCCAAGGATGATTTGGTGTGAATAAAATACCATAACAGGGAATCATGTCAAATTCAATTCTATATAGTACATTATGAAAAGTTATAGAGTTTAAAAATACTCTTCCTGTTTTGGAGTAGGCTAGCTTCCTTTTTGCAGAATAGTTTATACATATTAGCATTTATCTTTCACCCAGAATCAATAAGAAAAGAATAACTTTTCCTTACCTTCCTTGCTCTACAGTAAAGTGAAAGTTGAAACCAAAAAAGCAGAGGTGGAAAACTAAGATCAAGCAGAAAATTCACAAGCGTAAAAGGACAACAAAGCAACCAACATATTCAATAAGATGAACTCACCACCAAGTTCGGAAAAGAGTTTAGGTAATCTACAGATGCCAAGTCATTAATCTCATTAGAACCTGAAATATTATTTTTAAGCAGTTTAGAGAAGAATTAATGCCGCATTTTTATAACCAATTACAGGCCGAGAAGAAATTCCTAAGAAAATTGCAATAACAACTGCCACTGAATTACCCAAAAGAAGACATTCCAGTTTTTCAAATGGTGCATAGCATCCATCTTGCAAACCAGATAAAGAGCGACAAGTGGGGTAGAATATCTGACTCAATTTGTTCTTGTTCAGATGAAGCTGTTCCAAGCTGAAAAGATAAAAATGCATAAACAGTTCACCAAAATTGCAGATAAACTCCAAGGAATTCTTTTGTCAAATAATTTAAGAAAAAAAATTAAAGTCTCTTACACCTAGAAAAGTATCAATCCTCATACCTTCTTAACTTGGAAAGCTTCAAAACTTCCTGCCATGAACTAATACAATTGTTTTCAAGATTTAAGAGGCGTAATGACTTAAACCCAGTGACATTAGTAATGTCTGGTTCAGAGGGTAAAAGCTGTAAAGAAAAAACTCACCTTGTTAGGCCAGCAAAAGTTTCGTGACTTGTGATAAATACAAATTAAACACTGGGTAGGCTGCTATGTGTGTGGCCGTAAGACAACATAAATTCTTAATAAATTAGAAAATTACAAGTTAAAGGTGATTTCGCATCTGTAACATATTAATTCTGCATAGAGCAAGAAATGAACTTTTCACCCATAATCATATAATTAATGTGTCTTTGGTGAGTGATTGAAATTCAAGCAAAATGCACATCCCGGATTTATGGATTTCTCAACTTGAAAAGTACATAATGATATAACACACACAACATAAACATAAAAAAGAAACAAATCGCTTTTACATCTACACATGTGAAAGAATTTTTCTTTTGCAAATAGCTAGGCCGGAAGAAGAGGTAAATATTCAACATCAGATTGAAAAAGATTTTACTAGTAATACACCAGTATCACAGAATTCTTGTGCTGACCAGTGTTATCTTATTTCCCATGAGGTGGAGCTCTTCAACAGCATGAAGATACAGCCCGAGCATTTCAACCTGCTTCCAGTCATAGTTATAAACGCATGCAATATGTAGTAAAAAAGACAAGATGCAAATTTATTAAGTATCACCTGTTTCCAAGTAATGCCACAGTTATTGAGTACCAAAACGCGAATATTTGTGAGTGAAGGAAGTTCCGGTACATCAATTTCCATGAGATTATTAGTTAAATTGAGAATTTCTAGTGACGGTAAAGCTTCACAAATAGAATTAATATCCTGCATGAATACAAAATATCCTTGAAATGTCAAAGATGAAGACAGACCGCACTAACTACAAGTTGCCAAAAATTACACTCGGTCTTAAAAATGACTAAACAAAAAAAAATGGATGGGGTGGAAATTCCACTAATTTTTATGATTAATCAAGTTTCGTTTAAAGAACCCACCATCATCTGCATGCCTCGGGATTAAGAAAACTAAAGGCACATCCACAACATGAATTTTCATAATGCATGGTATGGGAAGAGGTTTTACACACCCTATCATGAAAAAGCTTAAGATTAAGCTCTATTCTCATTATCATTAAGCATTTCTATATGCGGAAATCCAATTTATGGAGTATTCACAGATATGACAAAATGCATGTTATATGCAGAAATAAAAAACAAAGCAAAAACATAATAATAAATAAAATATACAAAAATTCATAAATTTTCATTGTTTTATTCTTAAAGAGATTTTTTGTCTTTTTTAAAAACAGAAGACAAAAAAGATTCCTAGTAGTGCAATCAAATAAACGAGTATACAGTTATTTGCTTTGAGAAAGGGGTCTATGTGCGTATGAACATTTTTTATGGTTGATATGTTATTAGAGGAGAAAATAACGTTATGTTTAATTTAAAAATATTTTCTTTTTCAAAATTTTGAACATAGATAGTTGGTACTTCATTCAGATTAAAATGTTTAAATTATTTGTTGGATCCACCTCCAACTAGCATAAGAGATGGTAATACAACATATTAAACGATATCTGTTCCATTGCCCTATGGGGTGGTCAAAGCTAATGGAGATATCGCATGCAAATATTTGCATAATATCGAAGGTTGCTGTAAATTATCATATTAAAAATTTTAACATTATTGCTTGAATTATAAATTTAAGAACTTATAATAATATCATATTTATTTTTTTATCATGTAATGAAAGTGTGCTTAAGTTTATCATGTCAATCACGGGTAATCAAATGTGCACGGCCAGTACTATATTAATTTCAGATTTTTAAAGGATAGAGGATGTGCTTTCATAAATATTAAATGCATGAGAATTGTTTCAAGATGGATTAAATGCATAGTAGGATTAATTTAAGACAAATCCAACATGTATTAATTTGATAATTGGTTAAAATTAATTAAAAATGCATTTTCAAGACTTTACAAGCCTGCCACATAAAGGAGTGGAAGTGTATCTTCAAGAGGCTCAATGAATGGACATAAAGGAAGAATTCAAATTCAAAATTCCCTTATAAAAGAATTTAATGATATATTTTTAATGCATTATTTTGGCTATAAATATGTGAACTTCTTTGCTCAAGTAATTAGAGTGGTGTTCGGAAATGTATGGTGTCATCTATGGTTGCTTCAATAGGAGCATGGTGATTCCTCTACCATGGAGGCCGTTCTTTATTAAATAATGTTTGTAATTTTATCTTAAATACGAATGGAACATTTTAGTTCCTTTTATTTTCATTTTTAAGATTTATTCCCCACTCTCCACTATATCTCCTCATGCTGGTGTGGAGTGTAGGTCACATAGCCAAGGACAAGCCTATAAAGTTGATAGAGAGTAGATTTTATTAGACTTGCTAAGAAGAGATGTTAAGACGTTAGCAACTCAATGCTTAGAATGCAAAAAATCAAAAACCACTGAACAAATAACAGAAAAATACATAGCCATACCAGTTCCATACAGGCTTGGAAAGATTTGGCATAAGATTTAGATCTCGGGTTGCCCAAGATAGCTAGAGATTATGATAGTATACTGGTTGTGATTGACAGAGTTTCAAAAAATGTCCCATTTCAAACCTTGCAACAAAACAAGTGATGCATCCCATGTAGCAAAACTATTCTTTAAAGAAGTTGATAAACTGCATAGCATGCCCTACACTATGGTGTCCGATCTTAATGTTAGATTATTACCGTATTTTAAGAACACCTTGTGAAAATTACTCCGCATACTTAAATTTTCGCCCGGATTTCACCCTCAAACTAATGGGTAAACAGAGACTTTGAATAGGATTAAAGTCGATCTAAGGTTAACCGAAGATGGGCAAAATATAGGTATGTACGCCACTCTACCAATTCCACAAACATTCCCTCACCCCCTTCAAACACATTTATCATCACAACCATCCTCAACCCTTTTGTTGATCTTTAGGCACCATCTAAAAATCATAAATCAATGTTATAAAGTTTATAATTTTCAAACCACACCAATACACTAAATTTTAAATTGGTATTGAACTTGTAAACATTTGTTAATTCATATGATAAAAAAACTTGTTAGACATTTTAATTCGCAGGTTCATTTGTTAAATCATTTTCATTAGCAAGTTTGTCCTCAAATTAGGCACATCATATTTCTTTTCAATTCTATATTAAGTTTTTAAATCATCTATTAATTAATCCATGTTTTATAATTATTACTGAATGTATATATTTATATAAAGTGTGAGTGATCTAATTCATAAAAGTGACCCTTCCATTCATGCATTGCGCATTGAAATAAAACAGAACCTTTGTGCATTGCAGTAAATTTTTCGAACACCTCAATAAAATTATATTCTCAAACTTATGAGGAAGTATATAAAATATGCTGTGGAAGTAAAGAAAATATGAGAATTTTTTGTAGGAATTAGATTAGGAACTTTCGCATCTTGTTCATCATCAAAGTATTTTTTTCTATTTTTTGGCTGTAATTCTCATGGATTTAAAAGTTCAATTTCAATCATTGTTATTTATAATAAAATCTACACTAGTAGAAAAACATTTCTTTCTACCAATTTCATATATGTATTTGACAATGAACTAAAGATATGCACATGTTAGTGATTAACACATGCAATGAGCACAAGGCAACAACTATTCTGTTTTTTATTTCATTACTGGTATAGGATTTGAATCAATAGATCCAGTACTAAGATATAACATGGAAAGTGCGGGCACTTATTACCCCCACCAAACTCGAGAGTAAATCCTAACAAATTGTAAATTGATGCAAACTACAAATACCTAGAAATAAACCAAGCATACGCACTATTCATTCAAGAAAAGAAGTTTGATCACACAAAATACTTTTTGTTTTCAGATTTTGAACATTGAAATTGATAAACTACAAACTCATTTGATAAGTATAATTGTCTAGTTAAGCCATACTTGCCACCTTGAAAGAAGATTGCCTCTCAAATCGAGCTCCTTTAGATCTGAAATTTAAAAAAAAAAAAAAAAATCAACATGGGACAACGCTTTCAAGATGAATGTGCACGTCAAAGCAAAGAGCATATGTTTGAAACATAAGGGAAGCCAAGCTTCTATGGTTAACATTTCAAAATAAAATTGTAAGACTAAAATCAAGGAACACATTAAATCTAAGCTTACTGAGCTTTTTTTCAAAAAAACTGAGAAATATGCAAAAATCACACAAAAATACATACCCAAACTGGAGCGTCTGCTGCCTCTTTACATTTTCATTGATCTTATATTACAAAGACCCCAGCACCTCTAGCCCACATATTCCTTTTGAACTATGTGGTGTCATCTTTTATGAATCTCTCTCTCTCTCTCTCTCTCTCTCTCTCTCTCTCTCTCTCTCTCTCTCTCTCTCTCTCTCTCTCTCTCCGACGCGGGAGCTCTGCTAGGGTTTGGAGCTAAAGACGATCGCGCGGCGATTCGGGGATGCTGACGGCGTGTTCTCCTTCTCGACGGCCTTTCTCTGGAAAGATCTTTCCTGCTTTATGGTTTTGGCTTCTCCCTCGCTCTCGGTTTATTCTCTCGACTTCTCTTTTTCTCTACGGTTATTATGGCAAAGACGTATGCATGTTGGGGCCACTGCGGGGGTTTCTTACTCTGGGTCTCCTCCGAAGTTTGTTTTTCCATCTTCTTTTCACGAATCACTTGTTCTCGGTGGGAAATAAAGTTTTATTAAATCTTAAGGACGTAAGGGGGGGAAGTGTGCGCTTTTTTCTCTCCGATTCTGAAAACTCTATTCTCACATCTGCTTGTCGTTTTCATCTTGTTGGTAAGTTCCTTTATGGGATTCCGAAATATGATTTTTCGATGAAGAACTTTGATCTTTTGAAATTATCGGAGGTTTGGAAGATTGGAGCTCTGGACAGCCGGCATATTCTGATTCAACTCTCTAACGATGATGATTATGCTAAGCTTTTTGCACGTAAAACTGTTCATTTTGGTGATGTTTGGATGAAGGTCCTTAAATGGACAACGGAGTTTGGTTTGACCCTAAGACCGAGCTTCTAAGACCGAGCTTCCTATTATTCTTGTCTGGCTTAGACTTCTAGGTCTAAAGATGCATTTGTTCAATCACGATCTATAGTTGTCATTAGTTGTCATATATGATAAACTTTTAATGCTTGATGCCCCTACCTTTAATTTAATAAGACCCTCAATGGCTAGAATTTTAATAGAGCGAGATGTTACCTTACCTCTGTTGACCTCATTTTTTAGGTCATTTCCTTTCCTTAAAACCTAGGTTCTAGCTTTAGGATTTCCTATTGACCATCTTAGAAAACTAGAATTGAGACTCACCCTTCTAGCCAATTCCTATTTTTCTTTTATGTCTAGCATCTTTAGCACAAGACCATCGTCTTATGAACGAACGGTTATGGGCTATTTTGCGAAGATTCAAGGGAAATGTTCCAAATAGGACTTCAAGCCTTAAGAAAACATCGTCACGGACTTTTTCGTCACGTACACACACAAAGTACACGAAGTTCACGAAATTGCGCGAAAAAAATTGCACGAAATCAAAATTGCACGAAATCGGACTTCAATTAAGCCCAAAGGACGGGTGAAAATGCGAACTTCTCCGGATGACTTCCGAAAACAAATTAGACTGCACCAACGCGTCCGGGATACCAATTTTGGTAGGAAATGACACCCATATTGTCATAATTTAGACACGAGAAAATTGGCACGCAAATCGATGAATTCGTCAAAACGACTTTCGGTGGCGAAACGAACCTCGCCAACGAGTCCGGAACTTCAAAATTACCTAAAAATGATATCAATTTTTTTTTGCTATGTTTTGATGCGTGGGTGAAACACAAATTAAAATTTTATTTTTCAAAATATTAAATATTTTCTTAAATCATATTCATATTAAACCTAAATCTTATTTAGGTTCTCACCCGCTCCCTTAACCAAACATTTTCGGCCCCGCATTCGACTCAATCCCGCGGCATTCATTTTCCTCTCCCTCGACCGAGACCTGCTCGGGTGTGTCGTGCCCTAGCTCCAGCGATTTCGTTTGGGCGTGGATCGATCGAGCGATGCTGCCGAGCCCGAGCTTCTTCTCTTTTCCTCTGTCATTCGTACTTGCGGCTCGTCTCTTCGATTTCTGCTCGACCGAACGGCTTCCCAATGGTGGAACTCCATCTGGTCGGCTCTTCCTCTGCCCTAGGCTGCATTTCCTCTTGCCTTAAATCTTTCTCCTCCTCTCCCCTCACACGATTTGCTTACCAGAGTGGCTGGTAGGTGGCTGTTCTTCTCCTCTAATGCTTATAAAACCCCATTTGGGGGAAAATCAAATGTTGGCCGAAATTTTGAGAGTGGGGAGGTGCTGCCAAAATCTTTTCTAACTTACATTTTCTTCTCATCTTCTGTGGCTTTGGGGGTGTTAAAAAA